GGGGGGGGCAGAAGAGGGGCTAACCTTATTATTCAGATGGAAGTGCCAGCTCGGGGTTTTGGTCAGGATCCAGAACAGATGCAGGTGGTCCGTCGCGGCGCCGACGAGGGGCGCCGTTCTCTCCATCGATCGTCCAGAGCCGCTCGGCAGAGTCCGTGTGGATCTGAGCCCGAACACCAGAGGGTGCTGTGAATCAGAAAATTAACAGCGTTGGGGTCCATTAACCACCCACTCACTGAATGTGCAAGTGACCCTGCAACTGGAGGCATGGTTGCAGGTGCCACTCAGAGAGAAGACGACAGGATGATGATGGTGGCATCTCATAACGAACCCGGGGGGTGTTAGACAGACATCAGACACTGGGTATGTAAGGGCAGTGCACTTCGCTGACATAAGGACCTTGCAGTTCAATAAATTGTAAAATTATTGGGGTCAAAAGAACTGCTCACCCTGGTCAGATTGTACTTACATGGACTAAACCTGAATTTTGGTGAACCACAAAATAATTTAGCCAATCTAAATAAAAAGTTGTACTATATTTGAATTTTGCACTTACATGTATTAAAGTACAGGGCAGCATGGTGGTGCACTGTTACCTCACACCTCTGGGACCAGGGTTCGAGTCTCCACCTGGGTTCCCTGTGTATGGAGTTTGCATTCTCTCCCCATGTCGTCGTGGGGTTTCCTCTGGATACTCCAGTTTCCCCCCACAGTCCAAAGACATGCTGAGGCTAATTGGAGTTATTAAATTGCCCATAGGTGTGCACGTGTGAGTGTGTGTACCCTGTGATGCGCTGGCCCCCCATCCTGGGTTGTTCCCTGCATCGTGCCTGTAGCTTCTGGGATAGGCTCTGAACCCCCCCACAACCCTGAAGGATAAGTGGTTTGGAAAATGGATGGATGATCTGTAATGTCAGTTTCCATTCACAGAGATATAATGAAGGTGGCTGTATGCTTCAGACGATATCAACGGCACTTTACAATGCTTACATTGTAAGAGCCTTAATCACCGCGGCGATGCAGAACTGGGGTGCGAACAGCGGCCCTTCCTGGTGGAATGTGGGACCGTGCTCATTCACAACATGTGGTCTAATCCCTCCACTCGAAGCAAGGATGACAGCCAAGACAAACCTCTAAGCCCTTGGATGCAGTGATGCGAGTGGCGTGGCTGAAGAGGATATCGGGTCCGGTTCTAGGTTAGCGTGACCCAGCAGTGTGACAGCTGACCACATGCAGGTGTGTTCAACCGACCTGTGAGGGAAGCATTGCAGCACCTGTTTAATCACAGACATCCTTATCGCCAACTGAATCAATGCTATTCTGAATGTTGAAAAAATACTAAAATATATACAACTAAATTGCTAAAAAAAATCATACTCACAGTAACAATGGCTAAAAATGAAAATGGTTACCCTACATGTGAGATGGAGCCTTCTTGTTGCTATGGAAACCTCTATGGAAAATATGACCCGGAATCTGCAACATGCAGCGTTTAAACGCAACAGAAGTGCGGAACGAGGACTCACAGCAGTAACAGGCGTGCGGAGAGCCCCCGGCATCCAGCAGGGCCGCTTTACACACTTTGGGCTCCAGGAACCACATGCCAGGAACAGCGAAGTCTGCCCCCCGGTGGAGGTGCAGTTCACAGAAAAACGTCAGTTAAATACCACAGCCACACAGCACAACTATAATGCTAAGTTCTTCAGACCATTTACACTTGTATTTACAGTCGGTGTATTGCACCATGGGCTCCAGGATGCAGATTTACGGCTTTGTTTTTCCGCTATGCTAACGGAGATACCTACCAAAAGTGGCCGTGGGAGACAGGGATGAGCAAAGGGGTAAATCCACGTCTATCAGGGCCTTGGGAAGTTGCCCCTGAAGCCAGCAGCAGCTTCACACAGTCTGGGGGAGCGGAGAATATTTTACATTTCATTTAAAAGCAGGCACTTTTATCTGAAGCGAAATAATTCCACTGGACGTTACACATCTATATCTGGATTATTCAAAATTCTACTTCATGAATGACGACTATTATTTTGGATTTCCTCTGCCGGCCCCTGGAGGATGCGCTCCCCCTTTGCGTCTGGTTCCTCCCAAGATTTCTTCCTACTAGGGAGTTTTTCCTTGCCACTGTCCCATCTGCCTTACTCACTGGGGGCTTTGGGCAGGGATAATGTAAAGCGCTTTGAGACAATGTAATGTTATGAAAGTAAGCTATACAGAAATAAACTGACATTTTGAGAGACACTCCCTGGAGCACCTGGAGGATGGGCCAATCGCAAAATCATCCAGCTGGCTCTGGGATTTGAACCAGCAACCTACTGATCACAGACACAGCACTAACCCACTAATGGTACATAATGGTTCCTCAGAGTCCATTTCTGTACCTTAAAAGGTACAATTACCTACAGCTAAGAGTGCAATTGCCTGAACCTAGGGGGTACAGCCCCAATGACAAACAAAGGTACGCATTTTTACCATTTTTTCTCAGAATGTAGGATGGAGCAAAAACACGGACCGTCTGCAGTTCCCCGAGAACCAAGTTAATAAACACTGTCCTAATTAAACTTACTTTAATCAAAAAAGAAAACCAGGATTAGTTACTACACTCCCTGTCACATATGTCACAGTTCAAGAGGTTGCAGCACATATCAAACAGAAGTCAGAAATCAGAGCGGAAATTAGCATCTGATAAGACAGTGGTATTGTACGGCTTTACAGTCCTCGTCCTTTGGAACATCAGCCGGGACAGATGGCCACTCGGCACACAGACAGCACCGAGACGCAGGTGGCTGTTTGATCCACGCGCGTTTGCTGCAAGAGGCGAAATTAATCACCACCAGCGGAAGCAGATAATTCGAGGATTGCACCTCCGCCGTTTGCTGCGGCGTTTGATGCAGCGACACACCAGGTCTTTCTCTGGTACTATGCTGGCACTTAAAGTCCCAGAGAAGCTGATGTTTAATATCTCTGATATCTAAGTGAATGTACAAATTGCATACTCACTCATTTCTCAAACAATGAACTCTGGACAGAGCTGTGCTGTAATCAATTCAATTCAATTCAATTCATTTTTATATAACGCCTTTTATGACACAGCCTCCCCAAGGTGCTTTACATGGGTGTGTTGTAATACATTGCAACATCATTAAGACAGAATAATACAGAACAAGGGAAAAGGGAAGACAAAGAAATGAAAGAAGGAAATCCAGATGGCAACGAAGAAGAGGAACCAACAATCCCCCCCCCCTTTTACTGGAAAAGAATGAGTGGGCTTGCTTGCTAAAAGGAAGGTGTAAAGTATAATCAGGGACAAAGCCAAAGTCCATCACACAGACCAGCAGCCACCTCTAGATCTTTTTCTCAAGGACGAGGAGTAGAAACTCACAACGCTGAGGTTTTGTCTCTTTGCCATACAAGTACCGAAAGTGAGAAAAACCTTCGTAGCCACATTACACTTCCTGTAGTTTCAGTTTTTCATTACCACGCGTTCCGAGGAACACAGTGAAATTCTTATGGCACAGTTGCAGGGGAGGGGACAGATGCACGGAGGACAATAGGAGAAACAGCGGTGTAGTAAGAGACAAAGTCACAAGGAGTAGCATACGAAGGCCGTGATTGTCGGACCTTACCTGTGTGTCTGTTTTGAGCAGCAGAATACAAGGCAGAGGTTTCATTGGTGGGACTGATAACCATTGGGTCTTGGTTAAGCAGCATAGACAGTAAAGTGACGGTTCCCTGGGTAGCAGCTTGGAGGAGGAGGTCGCGCCCGTCAGCCAGGGGGACGGGGCCACCGGGGCTGGGTGAGGGAACTACGGCGGGACACCAGCCTGGGAGTCAAAGTGACAACATTTACGGTGGGACCGCGTCACCGGCAGGCAAACCCCCAACCACAGCCTCCTGATACACCTCTCTCTGCAGACGCCGGTGCGGCCAAGTCTGTGATCATGCTGACCTGAGCGTAAATATCACTCGTTGCTATGGTGACCCACCCAAAGCCAATGACAGCAGAGGGCGGACACACCAGTTTCCTCAATGCCAATCAATCAAGCTCAACCTAGTGGGAAAGTGAAAGGCATTGTTATCTGGAGCTTCTAGAAGACAGGGGATTCAGCTCCAGGGTTTTACCTCATAAGGGCTTTCAGGACACATTAAGTATAAGACTAGACAAGAGAATGTGTGTGTTTCTGTCCTCGAAGGCCATCAGTGATGCTGCTGGCTACAATGACAGCATCCGCAGCCAGCCCTGGGGGCCACAAAGTCCAAAATATTCTGATATCCTTTCTAACACTGACTAACTGTCCTCAACTTATCAAACTGCAGGTCAGCAAGGAATTTGATTAAGAAACAGCGAAATTCCCCTGATATCTTCTGTGCATCCAGCACTGCCTAATTATAAAGTGCATTAGGCTCCTGGGAAAAAACAAGACTCCAATTTAAGTAAACAGCATGGCTGTAACATTTAAACAGGTGTGCATAATTGCAAAATGGAACTGACAAAAAACACCACATTCACAGGCAAAAGTGAGGCATGTGTGAAATGTTTTGTGAAATTTATTAACTAACATTATATTCCATTAGTGCAGCAAATCAGAAGGTCGAAACCAGCTCAGGAGAAATTCGTTCAGGTAAATGCTGTGATGTTCAGAATGAGATACTTCAGACAGCAAGGAAGCACGCACGGCGGGAGCACTCGAAAGACATCCGCTTCTCGAGGAGGAGAACGGACATGTTCTAATGCCCCCAAGGTAGCTAATCACACATGCCAAGCGGAGACTGGGGAGAAGCCGGGGAGGTGCGGGTGGATTGGCAGAGCAGGGCATTCTGAGAAGACGGCCACAGAGCAAAGAGGGGATAGGGGAGAGGAGAGGAGAGGAGAGGAGAGGGAGGAGAGGGAGGGGAGGAGAGGGAGGAGAGGAGAGGGAGGAGCTTCTGGCATCAGCTTCAGAGTGTAGCTGGTCACCGACGGAACGGGAAGCCCAGCAGAGCTCACAACACAGGCAATAGCTGGTTGAAGCCATATTTAAAGTCTGTTTAAGCAACATCAAAGTCTATCAGCAAAATCAATTCAATCCTGGTATTGCTTAACTAACTAAGCAAGCTGGCAAGTGGGAGACTACAAAGGTTGTAAAGAGAGAAGCATTTTACGGTAATATTAACAAATCCTTCAGCTTCTGCGTGTAATTTTACCCTAAAAGTATGAAATTGTTCGTATTTTAATCAGATGTCTGCAACTATCTAATGCACAAGGAGAGACCTGGGAGAGAGACAGACAGACGGTGTACTACCTGAGGCTGCTGCCAGGGGGAGCTCTGTGGCACGGGGTCTACAGCATGACGCGATAACAGGATTTATGGAGGAGCTACTGACAGCTGCAATGGCAACAGGGGGACACTCTGAGCATGCTCCCTGGTGCGGCCCCGGTGGCTGGGGGGGGCAGGCACCCACCTGAGATGCCGTCAGGGCTGGGACGGGGCAGCCGGCCCCCGTGCCCCCCAAAGCGATGGCGGGCTTGGGTGGCAGCTGGGGCGTGGCAGGTTTGGAAGTTGCCCCCAGGCTAGTGGCTGGGGACCTGCTGCCCTCCCCAACTACCTTGATAGGGGGGTGGGGGGGGGATGGGGTCTGCGAGAGGCCGGGCTTTTTGGGTGGTATTGGCGGCGGATTCCCGCGGTCTATCCTGCCCACCGTAGGGGACTTGATGCTCATCTGGGGGTGGCTCAGCCGACCTGGGAAAGGCCCCCCCTCGGAGGTGGAGTGTGGCAGGCCGGGCCGCAGGGGGCCGCCGGCGGGCGGGCTTGTGAAACGGGACAGGACTTGTGTGACCGTGTGACGGGCTTGCTGCTTGGCTGCTAGGTTGTCTCGGCTGGTCGGAGACTCGTCCCGGGACGGGGGGCTCGGGGTGGCGTTGCCGTTCTGGTCCTGCTCCGTGGGGACGGACTGGAACTTATAGCGAGCGGCCTGGACTCGGGGGCTTGCCCCGGCAGGCAGGGCAGAGCCGGCGCCAGGTGAGGAGGACAGCCCGTTCTCAGTCTGCATGCCACCGATGGAGTTTCCATGAGTCATGGCCCTTGGGGGATTCTGGGATTTGGGCAGGCTCATGCCGGCATAGCCAGTGACGGAGGGCTTGACAGGGACAGTGAGAGGGGCCTTCCTGGGACCGTCCTCCACGAGAGACGGGTCCGTCTGGCAGGATGCTGGACGGCAGCTCAGCGGGTCCGTCGCCACGGCGACAGAGACGGTGGCTTTGGGCTGGGCGGCCTGACCAGCAGGGGGTGCCCTGCCCACATCCTGATCAACCTGCAGCTGCTCCACCTTCTGGCGCAGACAGTCGCTCTGGGCCCTCAGGTCGGCGGAGCGGGCTTCTTCGCGACCCAGCCGAGCTCGCAGCTGCTCGCGGTCCGTGTCCATCTCCGACAGCTGCTTCTCCATCTCGGCCTCCATTTGCTGCCCCTTGTGGCGTTCCACGGTGAGCTCCTCCTGCAGGCGGCTGGAGACGCGGCCCTCCTCCTCGAGCCGGGCGGACAGCTCGTCGAAGCGCTGGCTCTCCTCAGCCACACGGGATGCCAGCTGCTTACACTCTCGCACCAGCATCATCACCACGTGCTTGTTCTTCTCACGCTCGTCCTTCAACTGCGCAGACAGCTTCCGGTGCTCCACCTCCAGCGACTGCAGCTGCAGCTTCTCCTGCTCCAGCTGTGGGTCAGACATACAGTGTCAGAGGAGAAGCAGACCCAGAAATGCGTGCGTGCGCGAGTCGGTTTCATCACGCAAGGAGCTCAGATGAAAGACGCCGTCTCCGCGCGCAAAACACGCTCTGAATCCCGCTTCTCGATCAGGGCTGAGTCACACAGGAATCACAGTAAACCTATCAGCTGTCTGTAAAATTCAGCAACAGCTCTTGGATTTTCTTCACAAACCTTGGAGGAAGCACAGAATAAATTTCAAGAAAGAGCAAAGATTGAGTCTTTGATGATACTCTTAGATCAGTGTTTCTCAAACCAGTCCTCGGAGACCTCCCCGGACACTCCCGGCCTCAAAAAAGGAGGACCAGGCTGAGGAACACTGCCTTCAGCATGAACATGCGGACAACGAGGCCGACCTTCTTCTGCCTGCCCTCGGCAGCCTCCAGCTGCACCGACATCCTCTCCTGCATTTTGCGGCAGTGCGCCATGACCGCCTCCAGCACGGACAGGGGGCTGCTGCACAGGGAGCGCCTCTCCTTGTCCCCGGCGCCGGCCTCGAAGTCGCGCTGCAATGCCAGGAAGGGGTCGCTCAGGTTGAAGTGGCCGTAGCGCTCCTGGATGAACACCTCCTTCCTGCGAGCCTGGGGGGAGGAGGAGGCCATGTGGGTTTAGAGACATTACAGATGACATCTGGATCCTGCCTCACATTCCACACAATACACATGACATCTGGATCCTGCCTCACATTCCACACAATACATATGACATCTGGATCCTGCCTCACATTCCACACAATACACATGACATCTGGATCCTGCCTCACATTCCACACAATACACATGACATCTGGATCCTGCCTCACACTCCTTACATGCTACACGCTACAGCTGGACCCTGCCACACATGTTACACACGCTATACGCTGGTGGCTTCAGCGAGTCCCAGGAAAGGCACTGGCCATTGCTCTGAATGTGGCCTGTAACGTGATGAATTTTCTGCCTTAGGAATCCGGGCTTCACTGAGGTACTGTCATGATTTTACAAGCCAGCTGCTGTCTCAGGTTACACGCAGAATGGCCAGTTACGTGTTTATGCAGGGTGCATCGCCGTTTAATCCCCAGCCAATGTCGTTCAATCTCAATACACAGTGGCAGAAAGTGAAAGAGACCATATTTGACAGGGCAGAATGGTTCAGATTGGCGGGAAGCTTTAAATATTACATACCCTGAGCAACCTACAAAGTGCCACAATTATTATACAAGTCTCCTATAAGGACATAAGAAGAACATAAGAAATTTACAAACGAGAGGAGGCCATTCGGCCCATCAAGCTCATTTGGGGAGAGCTTAACTAATAGCTCAGAGTTGGTAAAATCTTATCTAGCTCTGATTTAAAGAAACCCAGGGT